AGAGTTTCAAAGAATAGCAAGGAGAGATAAAAAAGCCTTCCTCAGTGATCAGCGCAAAGAAATAGAGGAAAACAATAGAATGGAAAAGACTAGAGATCTCGTCAAGAAAATTCGACATACCAAGGAAACATTTCATGCAAAGATGGGCACAATAAAGGACAGAAATGGTATGGACCTAACAGAAGCAGAAGATATTAAGAAGAGGTGGCAAGAATACACAGAAGAACTGCACAAAAAAGATCTTCATGACCCAGATAATCATGATGGTGTGATCAATCACCTAGAGCCAGACATCCTGGAATGCAAAGTCAGGTGGTCCTTAGGAAGCATCACTATGAACAAAGCTAGTGGAGGTGATGGAATTCCAGTTGAGCTCTTTCAAATACTAAAAGATGATGCTGTGAAAGTGCTGCACTCAATATGCCAGCAAATTTGGAAAACTCAGCAGTGGCCACAGGACTGGAAAGTCAGTTTTCATTCCAATCCCAAAGAAAGGCAATACCAAAGAATGCTCAAACTACTGCACAATTGCCCTCATCTCACATGCTAGCAAAGTCATGCTCAAAATTCTCCAAGCCAGGCTTCAACAGTACGTGAACTGTAAACTTCCAGATGTTCAAGCTGGTTTTAGAAAAGGCAGAGGAACCAGAGATCAAATTGCCAACATCTGTTAGATCATTGAAAAAGCAAGAGAGTTGAGAAAAAAACATCTCTGCTTTATTGACAATGCCAAAGCCTTTGACTGTGTGGATCACAACAAACTGGAAAATTCTTCAAGAGAGGGGAATACCAGACCACCTGACCTGCCTCCTGAGAAATCTGTGTGCAGGTCAAGAAGCAGCCATTAGAACTGGACGTGGAACAACAGACTGGTTCCAAATAGGGAAAGCAGTACATCAAGGCTGTGTACTGTCACCCTGCTTATTTAACTTTTATGCAGAGTACATCATGAGAAATGCTGGGCCGGATGAAACACAAGCTGGAATCAAGATTGACAGGAGAAATATCAATAACCTGAGATATGCAGATGACACCATCCTTATGGCAGAAAGTGAAGAAAAACTAAAGAGCCTCTTGATGAAAGTGAAAGAGAAGAGTGAAAAAGGTGGCTTGGAACTCAACATTCAGAAAACTAAGATCATGGCATCTGGTCCCATCACTTCATGGCAAATAGATGGGGAAACAGTGACAGACTTTATTTTTAGAGGCTCCAAAATCAATGCAGATGGTGACTGCAGCCATGAAATTAAAAGACGCTTACTCCTTGGAAGAAAGTTATGACCAACCTAGACCACATATTAAAAAGCAGAGACAATACTTTGCCAACAAAGGTCCATCTGGTCAAAGCTATGATTTTTTCCAGTAGTCATGTATGGATGTGAGAGTTGGACTATAAAGAAAGCTGAGCACTGAAGAATTGATGCTTTTGAACTGTGATGTTGGAGAAGACTATTGAGAGTCCTTTGGGCTGCAAGGAGATCCAACCAGTCCATCCTGAAGGAAATCAGTCCTGAATATTCATTGGAAGGACTGATGCTGAAGCTAAAACTCCAATACTTTGGCCATCTGATGCAAAGAACTGACTCATTTGAAAAGATCCTGATGCTGGGAAAGATTGAAGGCAGGAGGAGAAGGAGACAACAGAGGATGAGATGGCTGGATGGATGGCATCACTGACTCAAAGGACATGAGTTTGAGTAAACTCTGGGAGTTGGTGACAGACAGGGAGGCCTGGCGTGCTGCAGTTCATGGGGTTGCAAGAGTCACACACGACTGAGTGACTGAACTGAGGCCACAAAACAAGCCTCAGTAAATTTAATAAAACTTAAATCTCACTATCTTTTATAAGTACAACTCTGAAATTAAAAGCCTCCTTTTAGTTTTTAGTCTACAAGAAAATACTAAAAACATGCGGAGGCCAAACAATATGCCACTAACAACCAATGGATCACTAAAGAAATCAAAGAAGAAATTTAAAAAATATAGGGAGACTCATGAAGTAAAACATGCAACAATCCAAAATCTCTGGGATGTCGCAAAAGCAGCTCTTAAGAGGAAAGTTTATAGTGATACAAGCCTACCTCAGGAAAGAAATATCTCAAACCAAGAACGTGATCATACACTGAGCAACTAACAGAAGTCAGTAGAAGAAAAGAAATCAAAGATCAGAGAAGAAATAGATGAAATGTTGCCTACTTCTTAAAAAGTAGAAAAGATCAATGAAAATAAGAGCTATTGTTTTGAAAAGATAAAACTGATAAATCCTTTGTGAAACTCATCAAGAAAAAAAGAGGGACCAAATAAATAAAATCAGAAATGAAAAAGGAGAAGCTATAACCAGCACCACAGAAATAAGAGAACAATATGAACAACTATATACCAACAAAATAAAGAACTAAGAAGTAATGGACAGATTACTAGAAATGTAGAATCTCACAAGGCTAAACCAGGAAAAATAGTAAGTTTAAAAGAGCAAGTACCAGTACTGAAATTGAATAAGTAATAAAAAAAAAATTCCCAACAAACAAAAGTCTGGACCAGATGGCTTCACAGGTAAATACCTACTCTCAAACTTTTCAAAAAACTTCAGAGGGAGGAATGCTTCTTAACCACCTCATCTGTCTCCCCTTCTCCTCCTGCCGTCAATCCTTCCCAGGATCAGGGTCTTTTCCAATGAGCTGGCTCCTCACATTATTTACAATAGACAGGATATGGAAGCAACTTACATGTCCATCAACAGATGAAAGGATAAAAAGACATGGGTATGTGTGAGTTTACAGACATATATAATGGAATACTAGAGAACCATAAACAGAAAACAAGCTTGCCATTTGCAACAACATGGATTGATGTGGAAGGTACTGTGCTTCATGAAATAGACAAATACTGTAGTTATCACTTACATGTGGAATCTCAAAAAATCAAACAAATGAATTTAACAAAACAGAAACAGAGCCACAGATACAGAGAACAAACAAGTGGTTACCAGTGAGGAAAGGGAAGTTGGGAGAGGCAAGATAGGGATAAGGGATTAAGAGATACAAACTACCATCTATAAAGTAAATAAAGCTACAAGGATATATTATATAGCACAGGGAATATAGCCAATATATTGTAATAACTTTAAACAATGTAATCTATAAAAATTTTAAATTGTTGTACAGCTGAAATTAACAAGTCAACAAGACCTCAATAAAAATTTTGTAATGCATTCAAATAAATCAGTAATGAGATATCAAATGGTCTGTATGTGATAGTTCTTAATTTGGAGTAAAGAGTATTTATATGCATGGACTTACTTGGAAAGAGAAAGGAATACAATGTGTACTCCCCATCCAGATGGCTTTCTTCATTTGGGCTATGTCCGTATAAAGGGAAGAGGATAGGATTTGCTCAGTTTGCCCACAGATGACTCCCACTGATTCCTATAGATCAAGACTCCTTCAGCTCCTTCCTCTCAGAGTCAGGAGAAGCTGGGGGAGAGGGTTACAAACTAGTAACTGTTAAACACAGGATTTCTCCCCTTCTTCAGGTGAACTGATATGAAACAGGCTGGCCTCACTTTGGATTGAGGAGGAGAAAGGAGTTGCTTATTTTCTTAAGGATCTAGAAAACATTAAGATCCCTTTTATAATAGAAAGTGATACAGGAATACTTATTATTTGATCTAAAAATTGAAGTATTTTTGGTAGAGGCATTATCATACACTGCTGATGGGGATATGACTTGTTTTTTTGTGGGGGCAGTTTGGTGGTATCTATCAAATGTAAAACACAACTGTATTTCCAGCATTGTACTACTAGAAGTTTACTCTCAGAAGAATGACCAGGATGTTCACAGCTATTTCCAGGAAAACACATGGGAATAAACTAAGTGCTCATTACTGGGGGTACTGGTTTAAAAACTACAGTACAATCATGTAATGGGAAAAAAGGGTATTTCTTTGTTCTCTTCTAATGCATTAGAATTCCACCATTCCTTACTCCCTAGTTACGTGATGTGAAATACTACACTTCTCTTAAATCTGTCTAGAATTCTCCTGCAAATTCTTAAAACCTCCCAGGCTCATATTTCACTTAAATATTGATCTACTGGTCACACCCCCTCCCTCTGGGCCCAGGACTATCACTATACCCTGAAAGCTCTGGAAGAACATTGTTTCTTAAAACACATATTTTTTTTTCTTCTCCTCCTCTATTGAATAAAAGCAGCAATCTTTAGAAACATGCCACTTTTGGCAAATGAGAGAAGTGAGGATATTTATACTGAGATGAGCCCTGGCAGGAACAAAAGATATTGTGACTCAGCAGAGCTGCAGAATAGCATTAGGTCTGCCAGGCTTCCTGCTTTTCAGCACCTGACTTGCACATGCCCTGCCTCCAAAAGGCAGCTACAGTTGGAAAACCCTGATACTCTCAACATTTGTTTCACGTTGAAAAAATCAAATCAAAAAACACAAGCTGATGGTTACCAAAGAGGAACAAGATGGGGGAGGGATAAATTAGGAATATAGGATTAACATATACACACAAATATATATAAAATAAACAAGGATTCGCTGTATAGCACAGGGAACTATATTCAATATCTTGTTAACCTATAATGGGAAAGAATCAGAAGATATGTGTTTGTGTATATACATATATAAATAACAATCATTTTGCTGTATACCTGAAACTAACATAATATTATAAATCAACTATTTAAATCAAAAACAAAAAACCCAAAATACACCTCCTCTGAGAACTTGAGAACTGCATCTTAAAGAAGGTTTGGAATTTAATGCTTCATCAAACTTATTAGAACTGCATGCATCCATACTGGAGGTGATTATATTTTGCCATTGAACAGCATCAAGAGAACTTGACAAACTTTGAAGATAACTCTGATTCTTCTTCAGAATTTCCCCCATGCCTCTGCTCAGTTTTAAATCTCTGGAATATTGAAAATAGCTTATATCTTTAAAAAGATTATCTAGTGAAGCATTTATGTTGGCTTACCCTTTTCTTTGACAAAGTCCTTTTGCACCTCCGGGATCAGGAAACTGTAAACCAACTCCGCCACAATCTCCTCTGACTGAAGCTGAGTTCGACTGAAAAATAAGAACATATTAAAAGTGTTTCCTTTGCTGCCTTGCTTGAGCTGCTGATTTACACTTGGATCCTCCTTGCATGTGTAAGGAGCCCTACTGCTCAGATTCTACGACTGCCTTTTCCTTGAGTGATCTGAAATAGCACATTCCTGGTGAGTTTCCTTAACTCCTTGGAAAATCCAAATTTGTCCTTTACTTCCCCTGCCTCCCAGGAAAGGAGTGTTAAGAGACACGATTTACACATGGAAGCCAAAAACCTTGGGGTGATAGCCAAGTAAAACTGGACATACTCACATTGCTTTCAAGCTTTGTGATATTCTAAAAGTAAGAAATATGAAAGTGATCCAGACTGCAGAGGATAACTGAAAATTCTATTCCCAATGTGCGGCTCCTGCCATACAAAAGTACAGGTCTGCTGGCTGCTGTTAAAACTAAATGCATACTGAAGCATGAGTTAGTTATTTGTTTCTCCTTGGTAGTGAAATCTTAGGCTCTTGAAAAACACATATGAGTAATAGCAAAGGGGCTGTCCATCCCACCATCTGTCCCCGTGATACACACCGGCTTTCCATTTCATAAGCAATGTCATTGATTTCCTCAGCCATCTTCTCTATTTCTGCCCTGGCTTGTTCTTCTGCAGTATTCTCTTCAGTGTTCAGTATTATGTCCTCCAGATAGGAAGTTACAGTGCTTTGGTGAACTTTAATCACCTGCAAAAGCCCCAAATACTTCAGCTACTCAGAAAAGGAATGCTACTACCATAAGCAAGACAAGAAAAATGCACAAAAATTGGCCAACATTTTTAGCATGTCCATTTCATTTATCAAGTCAATAGTCCCTGCACTGTACATTCCTTTAAAAAAAAAAAAAAACTGTAGTCCATTTCTAATCGACCTGTATCTACCCATTCTGGGCAGACCCTACATATTTGGCTCATTTTAGAATTATGGGTCTCAATTTGGGGTGGGTAATACGAAACACTGCAAAAAGATCACAGGCTTGACTCAGGAACCCTGTTTTAGGTCCTGTCTTTGTTCTTACCAGCAGTGTGACTTGGTCAAGCTACCTAACTGTGGCAGAGACTAAGATTTACACAACATCCTCTCTCTCCTTTCTCTTAAAGGATTCTTAAAGGGAAAGACCTAGCTTATTTTTTTCTCTCATTTCTCATTTCATGGGGACAAAATGCAGGAGGCACCAGTCATCTTAAACTGCCGTGAGGGTCACGCCCGAGACAGAAAAGCAGAAATCTAGAAGGATTCTGGATCTCTGATGAATTTTTTTAAACTATCATATCAGTCCTGGACTGCTTCTTTTTAAAGCTTTCTGAAATTGTGAAATAGAATATACATTTAGAGAAGTGCCGAGCACATAAATGTACAGTGTAATGAATTCTGGTCAAGCCACTGGTAGTATCCCGGAGGTCACAGCGGGTTCCATCTGACCACAGCTCCTTTCCATTCTCATGAGTTTATGGTAGACTTCATTTTCTTTACAGTTTTGTTCCTTAAGATTTCAGTCATAAATAATACAATTTAGTTTTGCCTGTTTGACAGGTAGATACACAGGAAGTATCACAAACATCAAGGGTGTCATACTTTGTTTTCTATGTAGTCTCAATAGATTTTGAGCTTTGGGGGATAAAAGCACTTTCTGTTTAATGTCTAAATATTTCTTTGTATCTGAGATAATGCTTGGGACTCAGTAACAACTTAGTACCTGTTTCTTGACTGGCACTGTAGCAGGACTCTGAATATGAAATGTTTACTGTGAAATACCAAGTCCATATCCTTGAATTCCTGTGCCTTCCTTATGGGAGAGACCCAATGACCATAGTTTAATATGGTATCAGCCAACCAACCAACATATATTTTCTCAACGCCTGTTGTGTACAGAGGGCTACTCTGGTGCTGTGGAAGGCACAAAGCGATATACAACATGCCTACTATCCTGGAGACCACAATCTTACTCAAGAGACAAGTCACACCTAGAACAGAACAATTAGACAGTTGAGTCTTGTTCAGAGGTGGGAAGTTTAACGTGGTCTACTTCTAACAATATATGTACTTGTGTGTTTACATACATCTTTATAAATGTGCATGTTTGTGGACACATTTGTGCTTGTATGTGCATAAGTGAGTAAAGGAAACGTTCGGTGGCTATATGTGTGTTGCTGTGTCCTCCACATCTTTTCTAATACTGTGCACAAGGGATTATGTTTGTGAATGTGTCTTCATGTATGGACATGAAGTGTATATGTATTTAAATATGAGTCTGTGACTATGTTTCTCAATATATGTTACTTTCCTGGAAATTTACTAATGTGTACATTTCTGGGTTTTGGTATATTTATGTGCATGCAAGCATATTTATCTATAAAAGGATCATATGATGGAAGATAGGGAATGTAAATGATGCATGGGGCCGTCCCTAGATGGACATATTCTTTACATAAAAGATCGTTAAATCAGGCCAGAAGGGTCACTTTAACCCTTTCATGCCCCTCCCAGACATGCTGACATTTCCTGGGGCTGTTCCCATCTAGAAGACACCTTCCTAGAAGTCTTTCACCAGTATGTTCCTTTTCATATTTCTGAGAATAGTGGTTCCTTTGTCTCTCTCCTTTTATTCTCACTCCCAACTTGTTCTTCTCATCCCAGTTGGTTTTTCCTTAGTGCTTTCAGTAGGGGATAGTAAGTTCTCATTTGCTAAAAATTGCTAAATCTCAGTAATTCTATTTAAATAAAAGCTGTTAGGATGACAGGAAACTAGAATACAAATTATTATTATAGGCAGTTTGACACCAGAGATGATCCTCCACTCCAATTAAAAAGCTGCATTTGACAATATACAACCTGCAAGTTTTTAAGCTGTATAGAAGATGGAAAATCTTTAATTTTAATCAATTTTTTGTTTAGAAAAAACAGCAAATACTATTTATGAATCAATCCTAATTCCCTGGGAATTGGGTAAATCCTTAAAATCACAGATCAAATAAGAAAGCTTCAAGTTGACATAGCATTATTTTTTCTCACCCAAGGAGCTCAAAAGTATCCATTACAATTCAGATAGCCTCCTGGACAGGAATTTTTAAAAAAAAATTGGCACTTTTTAAAAAAGGTTGGCACTTTCCATCTTTCCCATCTGGCCCAAGGGAGACAGTCTTTGCTTTGACATATTCTGGGTGTGCTGGCCGCCCACGCAGCCTCTTCTGTGCCCAAACCCCTCAGCCTGCCCAGCTTCCACCTCTGCATTCCTGCAGATCAGACACCCTAACTAAAAGAACACACATCTAGCTCCCCAAGAAAGGGGACATACTCTCCCCAAACTCTAGGTGTGATATGGTGGAGGGGGTGCGTATTAGTCACAGCACAGCTCCCTTAAAAGAAATCTTCCTCACAAATCTCCTCCAATTTTATCACTTGAGCTTTTGTATTCTTGATGAGGGCAAGAGTGCTTTGAGATATTATTGGTTCCTCAAATTTCCTCTGAGTTTGCATCTGGGTCAGTCTGGAATTTCACATCCATTGGGTCTTGTTCAGAATTCTAACTTACCAGCCTGGCATTCTTAACTCCCACGTTGTATCTTTAGTCAAAAAATCTCTTCTAAATTCCATCTTATATATTCATTTGCTGAAATGACACCTCTACCAAGATATCCCCATACCAAGATATGCCCCAAACCTATTCCACCCTCAGCTTTCCCACCTCGGAAAACAACCATCATCTCCCTACTCACTGACACTGGAAACTGGACTTTATACTTGATTTCACCCTATTTCTCACTCTGGCCGAAGTTAGTTCATTAGCCTCCTTTCAGGTCCCTTATTTCCACCTTGTCCTCCCTCCAACCTGTTCATACAACAAGTACCCCTAATGACCTCTGTAAAAATGTGTCACTGGGCCCCATTTGTTTCCCTCAGGAAACTCCACATTTTCTTATTCTACCTTTATTTGCATGTTATATAGGATTTAAGTTCTAGGAGAGAAGGAGCCATGCCTGGTATTTCCCTCCAAAGTACTCCACAATGCCTTTACATACTGCTGAGCATATCCTAGGACCCCAATACATTATCTGTTGAAGACAATTAAAAAATGAAAGCATCTCCCATCTTGAGGTTCCTTGGGTTTGACTCGGCTCCTTATAAATGGCTTCCTTACAATGTACCCACTTGCCTCCTTAAATATCTGGTCCTCCTCCTGCAGGCGCCTCTGCTCCACCTGGCGCCGGCCACTCTCTTCAGCTTCACGCATCCGGCGCTGCCGCTCGGCCAGCATGGCCAGGGCATGGACCCGCCTCTCCTCCTGCAGTCTCACCAGCTCTTTGGACAGGAAGTCAAACATGTCCGCCAGCACCCTTCCTTCCAGTCCAGCCAAATGGTTTTCAACCAGCGACACCTTAAAAATAATTATATGACTATGAAGATACAGATTTCACTAAGAAGTGTGATTCATGAGGAGGGATGCTGGGTTACCCTCGACAGTCACTTCCCTTTCAGAACGCACCTAGTAAAACCATTGAGTTTTACTTATGATACAAACTTAGACTTGAGGAAGCAGATTGTTCAGCTATAGATGATAGCTTAGCAAAACATTAGTTAGCATCCACACAATTTTTTTTTCCTTTCAATTTTATCCAGAAGGTAAAGTGCTTATGTCTTCCCAGACATGAAGGGAAATGTCAAGGTTTTGATTAAAAGATACTATTGAAGTTCAAAAAAATAGAATCTCCTAGAAATTCACTCATGATACCTTTTAATTTTTCAATGCTTGGTCTTTTAACACCAAGTTTGGGGATTTTTAAGCTTTTCAGTAACATGAAAGTAGAAAACCTTGGTACTTTTTATTCATTTAAGTAACTTCAAAGTCATTAAGAACTGCCTTTGAAACAGACTAGGAAATAAGCCTATATGAGTATGTAGTCACTGAGGTAGAGAGGGGCGCAGAGTTCCTGGCCAGGAATAAGCCACAGTGTTTATTTATGGATCCCTCTGTCCTGGCTTTGGCACAATGAGAATAAAAGTGTTTAAGAAGACTGTACTGTGTTTCTGCTCCTAGCCTCAGTGGTAAGGGGGAAAGACTCTTCTCCCAGATACTTGCTGCTCTCACACTGATGAGTCCCCTTGATATAAGAGAGGGATAAGATGAGAGGATCAGCACTGCTATAGGTACATGAGATGCCCGTTGCCCCAGATGCCTGCATCCCACAGGTGTAGCCAGGAGCAGCCGAAGGTAAACAGAGTGAGTCTGTGGCTATGTGACAGCTCTTCCCATTAATTCCTCCCTTAGCTCTTAGTTGTCATCATGTCTATCACTCAAGTATTTATCTACTAAATGGGACAGATGAATTAAAAACTTTGGATTGTCTTAGTTGTAGCTGCTCAAGTCTATAATCAGAAACCTTGAAGGGGCAGAGGTGGGCATTCTTGCATCCAGGTCCTGGGTATTCCATTGCCTGAGCATTCTGCTCTCTGTCTGAACAGATGTGCAGCTCATCTCCATCATGCCCAGGGCTCCAGGGCCCCCAGATTCAGAGACTCCAGTGACTACATTCTTCTCTTCCTTCTCTGGTCCCTTGGCTGGGTCTCACCATCTGTGGCTTTCTCCCTCCCTCTCCCAAACCAGCCCCGTCACTCAGAGAGCACCCCAGCCCTGCTGTCACATGAAAGGAGTACAGGGGTGCTTGCTTCAGAGCTGCTGACCGTTTGTGCCCAATTCATAGCACGAGAGCGGTGTGTGTCACTAAAGGTGGGTAATATTAACTTTGCTGTAAGTCTACTTTCTTACAACACTCTGCAAATTGATTCTTTCCACATTGATTTACAGATAAGTGGGAGAGACAGTAAAAGTATACCTCCACTTTAGTCAACATTAAATACTGTGTATATATACACAAATACCAGCAGAAAGTAGGAAACACATTTACAGTTGTTGAGTTAGAGCTGCAATCACCAGCTATTGTCAGTCACACAGAGCTCAGAGGACCTGATGAAAGTCACAGAATAACATGTTAACACATTTAATATGTAGTTTAAGGAGCATGAGCTATGTACAGCTCCAAAACTCATACATCTCAAGTGTGGACAATTTCTAAAATCTCATTTCTCACTTTTTCTTATTGCTTGCAGTATTTATTCATTCTACTTAGCTTCCACTGAAATATAATAGAAATATTATATTTTCTTAAATAGAAATATTTAAGAAAAATTGGAAAAGAAAACCTTTTAAAATAGTAAAGCTTTTTTCCTTTCCTTTTTGAAAATTAAAAAAAAAAAAAAAGCATATTCAACTCAGGGAGGATACAGTCCATTCAAACTTTGGACAGTAGTGCCACTGGCGAAAAATGCTGGGATTGTGGGGGGTGTTTCTTTTCATTTATTTTTATTAGTTGGAGGCTAATTACTTTACAATATTGTAGTGGTTTTTGCCATACATTGACATGAATCAGCCATTCTTTTACATCACTTCATCTGTTGTTACTATACTGTTGTTTGCACAATAATAAAAATCAAGGGTGAAAATGGGACAAGAAAGGAGAGGAAAGAACCTTGTGCTCGTGCAAGTTCCTCTGCCGCTGCAGGGCCAGGGTCACCTGCTTCTCGGCTTTCTTCACCAGCCTGTCATCTTCTTGCAGTGCGTGGCTGGTGCGCAGCTCCTGGATCAACTCCAGTCGCTTCTCTTTCCCTTCAAACATCTGTATCAAATCAAACCAGAGAGACCCGCAAATCAGCATTGCCAGTGCAGGCACGAGGCCTTGCAGGCAGTGACTGGCGAGGCGCTCATGAACAGTGGGTTCTGCTCTGCCTTTCAGGGCCACGGACCAGGTGTATGCCACAGAGCTAGGCGTCAGCCCTGTTTTCTGCTCCTTCAGCTGTTCAGGCAGAGAAGGAACTCGGCTATCAGTTAACTGTTGACTGAATTTCTTAAAATGCCTCTAAGACAAGGTGAGAACTCTAGGGTCATGTTAAGAAACTGGAGCCTTCCCTTCATTTCCTGCGCTCTTCCCCTAGGAAGCCTGGGGGTGGTATGCTTCATGGTCAGTTTTCTTTTCTGAGAGATCTGCTCCTGGTCTGGAATACACGACCTGCTGTCTGAACTTCACTGTGGCATTTCTCCTGTGGAAATAATGCCAGGAGGATAGGGAATAGTGCTGAACACAGATGTTCATCCAGCCTCCCTGGACTGACTCACCATAACTGAGTTTCTTAAGAGTTATAGCTGTCTGGGGAAGAAAAAATGTTTTAGCTGAGGCTTTACATCAGTCCCTTTTTAAACTTAAGAAGCACAATGATCTGACTAAGGCTTTGCGGTCAGGAAGACCAGAGTTGAATTTGCTGACAGTTAACATAATCTCACTCAGGCTCGTATTACTCACCTGTAAAATGGGTAATTGATAGGAAAAAAAGTGCTGATATAGGTAAAGAATATATAATGTGAGCATACACAGTTAAGAGTTCAAAACTATAGTTATTTATTTAGCTATTCCATTTATTATTCATGCATTGCTGGCTAGTATGCAAACGCAGATTATTATGACTGTGGAAAATTAGAGAATCCACTTGGTTTGTGATGCTTAATAGTCAAAATTCATGTATGAAAACTGCTGGATTCAGCAATTCCATGGAAGACATTAGCCTCATACTGCCTTGGTTACACGACGGGAAACAGCAGGCGGGTCCTTCCTGTCCTTGATATTGTGCCACTCGGGCTAGCTATGGCGGTAAAAGGGAAAGAGCAGGTAACTCAATAGCATAGTTCCACAGGACAGCGGGGCGTGGGAGGCAATTTACCCCCAAGGAAACAAGCACGGGTGCACTCTGAGTCTAGTCTCAAAGGAGAAGAACAGGGCCAGGGGTCCACTCCACACACCATGTTTTGAACAACTCTGCCCCGGAGCAACTTTTGAAGGTAGATCACTGCCATTTCTATATCTTCTTCTTCCTAAAAAAACAAAGAGAGAACCAAGCAGCTTGAGAACTTCAGCAGTTGCCATCAAATACTTTTTTGAAGATTTATATCTAGCAAAAAGGCTAGACACCAGAAGGACTTAAAGAGAAATAAAACAAGAAATAAAACAGTATCCTTTTTTGAACATAGGATTTTAAACATGACATTAAAGTATTGTCAAAATTCATTATATTTTTCATGATATCATTGGTAAATTATATCAAAAGCAAAAAATTCACCCAGTGTCGTGCTATCCTTACAAATTAAGCCGTTTTCATTTTTTCTATATTCCTTTCCAACAAAATCTTTCTTGAAGCAGTAGGTATTGCTAATAACATCCCTTTTGCAATAGTTTTTTTTTTCATGTTTAATCATGAGTAGACAAAGAATGCAGGCTTCCCTGGCGGCTCAGTGGTAACGAATCTACCTGTCAATGCAGGAGATACAGGAGGCAAGGGTTTGATCCCTGGGTTGGGAAGATCCCCTGGAGAAGGAAATGGCAACCCTCTCCAGTATTCTTGCCAGGGAAATCCCATGGACAGAGGAGCCTGGTAGGCTACACTCCGTGGGGTTGCAAAGGTTGGACACAACTTAGTGATTGAACACGAACATGAGACAAAGAATATAGCTGGGGTATATTGGAGTTAAAAATGAGGTACTTTTCACAAGAATTTAGCTAAACTGGTAAAATCAGAATATAATGGACAAAATCAGCAATCTACAAAAATCACCTTAAATAAGTATGTGTAAAAGCAAAAAAGAACAGAGTCTACAAATTTAATTAAAGCCCCTCAATGCAAAAGATATCAATAGTGGAATCAATGGCATTAACACTTGTGAAAGACATGTTAACCACAGGCAGTGGTCAGCACAAAGTCTAGAAAAGAGGATGCTGCCCAGAAGTGCGTTGTGGCCAGTCAGCAGAAGCATTCCCACCCCTCCAAAGATCTCAGAGCCACTGGAGGTGCTAGTGAGATCTCCCATCAACTCCCCTGCTCTGGCAAAGCACAACCTTATGTGCAGTTTGGCTTTGTGTGAGAACTGCCCTGTGTTGGGAAAGAACAAACTGACCTCCCAAGAGCAACATCCTGATACACCAGGCAGTTATAGTTCTCTCTGTAAGGTATGTTGTTGTTGTTCAGTTGCTAAGTTGTGTCCAACTCTTTGCGACCCCATGGACTGCAGAATGCCAGGCTCCCGTCCTTCACCATCTCCTGGAGTTTGCTCAAACTCATGTCCAATGAGTTGGTGATGCTATCTAACCATCTCATCCTTTGCTGGCCCCTTCTCCTTTTGGCTTCAATCTTTCCCACATCAGGGTCTTTCCCAATGACGGCTCTTCGCATCAGGTAGCCAAAGTATTGGAGTTTAAGCTTTAGCATCAGTCCTTCCAATGAATATTCACAGTTGATTTCCTTTAGGACAGACAGGTTTGATCTCTGTGCAGTCCAAGGGACTCTCAAGAGGCTTTTCCAGCACCATAATGAGAAAGCATCAATTCTTCAGTGGTCAACCTTCTTTATGGTCTAACTCTCATATCCGTACATGACCACTAGAAAAACCATAGCTTTAACTATACATAACAAATTTGCAAATTTGTGGCATCTCCAGCAGTTTCTTGTGAGTTTTCTGCATCAGTCCTTTAAATCCTAACCAACTCTGGAAATGCTGACCAAACTGAGTGCGGTGCCCTGAGAAGGTAAGGCATAGCCCTGGAGTCAGAGTAAGCTCTCTGGCCAATCTTAACCCAGAAGCTGGCCTGTCTTGATGATTCCTTGCTAATTCCAGCTATCATCAACCACTTCATGTGGGAATACAGTTACAGTATCTGATCATCATTCCACCTTCTTATTTGACATACATCAGGATTACCTTCTGATGCCTATTTTTCTTGGGAAGATTTCATTTTTTGTGTTTCTATGCTTGAAAAGGATTGAATTTAGATTTCAATTTGCTTTTTTTTCTGTGTGCATTTGAAATAAAGGATAAAGGAAATGTAATTCAGACCTTGGGAAATGAACATGGTTATGTTAGGTTTGTTTTTAACCCAAACTATCTGGAGAATAAACAGATAGTGAAGCTGAATTTAGCTTTTCAAATAAAAAAAGCCTCAAACTTACATTGGAACTCATCTCCAGGGTTGGAGTTGGAAGTCGAGGTTGAGGTACTGGCTTTCTTTGAAGAAAACGCATAGGCTTCTTTGCTTTGAAATCCTTATTCTTCTTTTCCAACAGTGCCTGAAATAACACCAGTGTCTGACAATGATATGTCAATATATGTTCAGCAACTATAACAACTGTACTGCTCTGGTGGTGGATATTTATAATGGAGGAGGTTATACATATGTGGGAATAAGAAAGTATCTCTACCTTCCTTTTAATTTAGCTGTGAATCTAAAATTGCTCTGAAAAGTGAAGTCTTAAAAAACAAAAGAAAACAAAGTAGTGTCATTTCTTACATTTGTATTTTTCCCACTACCAGATCAGTCAGGAACAATCTTCTCTATGGCCATGCTAGGACAGTTTGAGAAAGTACAAACCAGGGTGCACCTATGATATTCCATGAATAAGTTTCCCACTAAACACACATGAAACATTCTGGGTGTATCCATTTTAATCAAAAGTTTTGGAGACTTAAAAAATGTTTTTGAGTTTTTAAAAGGTTCTGTGATGTGTGTATGCAAGCAAATCCCCCAACTTCTGTTCTTCCACATAAGCTAATCTACTGTTTTAAATGACTGCCTGAGGCAATAGAAAATGTCCTGTGCAGTGCATGACTGACTGAAGCATTTAGTATATTTTATTGTTATGGGGGAAATGAGGGGTATTAATTAGCAATTGTTTTCAAGTAAACAGAGCTTGACTTTGAAGCCAAGCACATCAAGATTTTCACATTTGGTTCCTTGTGAAAGAATGTGTTTCTATTTCAACATGCATTTTATATATATATATATTTATTTATTTTACTTTTAATCATCAAAACTCCTGACAGAATTATACATGACATAAGGTTTTGTTCATTGGTTCCATTTTCAGACATGGGATGTTTTTAGCTTAAAAGTATCAAAAAATGTGATCTCTGTGATTTTAAAACCACCTTTAATTACTTTTTCATCATTTAATAATTTTTACACTATTTTCCCACAAAAACATAAACAAGTGACAAAGAAACACTAAGTCAACTGTTAAAAATTATTAAAAATATGCTAATTATGAGTAAAATTTGGAACCACATCCAACTACCATGGCTGTAATAGAGGCTCTGAGTTTCTTGAAAATAAATCTGATGGCAAATATATATATAACAGCTCTATGATAACCCAAACTACTGAATCAACAGAAAGCAGCAGTGGTCTAAAAGTAGAGTTAACCTTTGAATGACATAGGTTTGAACTGCATGGATCCACTTATATACAGACTTTTTTTCAATAAATATATTGGAAAATTTTTTGGAGATTTTTGACAATTTGAAAAAACTTCCATATGACCCACACAGCCTAGAAATATAGAAAAAGTCAGGTATGTCATGAATGCATAAAATATATGTAGTTATTAGTATATGTTATCACTTCATTGTTGTTCAGTCGCTAAGTCATGTCTGACTCTTTAAAACCCCATGGACTGCATCACACCAGGTTTCCCTGTCTTTCACCATCTCCTAGAGTTTGCTCAAACTCATGTCCATTGAGCCACTGTTGTCATCCAATGATCTTATCCTCTGTCACCCCCTTCTCCTCCTGCCCTTAATCTTTCCCAAGACTACACACAAATCTATTATAAAATGTTAAAATTTATTGAACTTATTGCACACAGACACTTACAGACCATATGTGATACCATTCAAAGTCAAGAGAAATGTAAACAAAGATGCAGTATTAAATGATAACTGCTCAAAACTAACTGTAGGACATACTATACTACTAAATTCATAACTACCTTCTGTTGCTTTTGCTGTGAACTCAAGTGTTGTGACACACCTAGAGACATTAAAAAGCAGAGACATTACTTTGCCTTCAAAGGTCCATATAGTCACAGCTCTGACTTTTCTAGTAGTCATGTATGGATGTGAGAGTCAGACCATAAAGAAGGCTCAGTACTGAAGAATTGATGCTTTTGAATTGTGGTGCTGGAGAAGACACTTGAGGAGTCCCTTGAACAGCACGGAGATCAGGCCAGTGAATTCTAAAGGAAAACAACCCTGAATATTCACTGGAAGGACTGAGACTGAGGCTAAAGCTCCAATACTCTGGTCACCTGATGTGAAAAGCCAACTCATTGGAAAAGACCCTGATGTTGGGAAAGATTGAAGGTAGAGGAGGAGGGGACAACAGAGGACAAGATGGTTGGATGGCATCACCAACTCAATGGACATGAGTTTGCGCAAGCTCCTAGAGATGGTGAAGGACAGGGAAACCTGGTGTTCTACAGTCAATGGAGTCGCAAAGAGTTGGACATGACTGAGTGACTGAAAACCAACAAGCATTGTGAGTGTTCACTTAAAATGTAAGGTAACGCCAAGCATCTGAAGGAGCGATTCGTCTCTGCAATAAACTGCATGTGATGGTAACAAGTTCTCTAGCAGTTCTTGTATATTTTTCACTGTGTTTAGTGCAATACTGTAAGCCTTGAGTAACAACATGGAACCCATATGAAGTGTCACTAGTGATGCTGGGTTTGCTCCCAAGAAGGACAGAAAAGTCCTGATATTACAAGAAAAAGGTGAAGTGCTTTATATGCACCATAAATGGAGGTCTGAAGCTGCAGTTCCCCACGATTTCAGAATAAATGAATCTAGCATAAGGACCACTGTGAAAAAAGAAAAGGAAATTCCAAAAGCTATGGTTACAAGCAGATGTGAAAACCTTGCACCATTGGCAAAACACTTTCTTATCTCATGTTGAAAATGAAGCTTTCATGTGGATGCAGGATTGCTATAAGAAAGGCATACTTGGACTTCCCTGGTGGTTCAGTGGGTTAAGAATCTGCCTGCCAGTGCAGGGGACATAGTTTCAATCCCTGGTCCAAGAAGATTCCACCTGCCAGGGATCAACTAAGCCCACATGCCACAACTACTGACACCCATGTACTCTAGAGCCTGTGCTAGGCAACAAGAGAAGCCACTGCAATGAGAAGCCTGCACACTTCAACTAGAGAGTAGCCCCACTGGCTACAACTAGAGAAATGCAGAAACAAAGACCAGCACAGTCAAAAGTAAAGGATACAGCATAATTGGATGAGTTTGGGGGGAAAAAAAGAAAGGCATACCTATAGACTCTAATATGATTCAAAAGAGCTTACCAGATGCCGCTAGCGGTAAAGAATATGCCTGCCAATGCAAGAGATGTGGGTTCAATCCCTGGGTTGGGAAATCCCCTGGAGTAGGAAATGGCAACCCACTCCAGTATTCTTGCCTGGGAAATTTCTGGACAGAAGAGTATGGTAGGCTCCATATTCCATGAGTAGCACAGAGTTAGACATGATTGAGCATGTGTGCGCGCACACACACACACACAAATTAAAAAAAAAAAAAGAAGTCATTATATGAGAACTTTAAGTAAAAGGAAGGTGAAGATCTAAAGCTGGAGAATTTAATGCCAGCAAAGGATGGTTTGATAATTTTCTAAAGAGATTTGGTGTAAACCAAGATAACAGAAGTAGCTTCTGCTGACCAAAAGGTAGAAGATACGTTCCCAGACACCATTAAGAAAATCATTGAGGGGAAAGAATATCTTCCTGAACAGGTTTTTAATGCTGATGAAAGTGCCCTACTCTGGGGGAAAATGCCACAAAGGATACTTTTTCTAAGGAGAAGTAAGCACCAGGATTCAAGGCAGGAGAGGAAATGCTAACTCTTTTTGTGCAAATGTAGTTAGGTTATGATCAGAACTGCATTATCTACAAAGCTGCTAAGACCCTAGCCTTGAAGGGAAAAAGATAATCACCAGCTGCCAATCTTCTGGCTGTAAAAGAAAGCCTGGACAGGTTCCAGGTTTCTGAATTAGTTCCATTAATTAATGTGTTGTTCCTAAAGTCAGAAAGTACCTTGCCAAAAAAGGACTGCCTCTTAAAGTTCTTAGATATTGGACAATGTCCCTGTTGATGTTCATTGTTTTTCAGTCACTAAGTCATGTCCAACTCTTTGCAACCCCATGGACTACAGACACCAGGCTTCCCTGTCCTTCACCATATCCCAGAGTTTGCTCAAATTTATGTCCAGTGAGTCAGTGATGCCATTCAACCATCTTATCCTCTGTTATCCCCTTCTTTGCCTTCCATCTTTCCCAGCATCAGGGTCTTTTCCAATGAGTAAGTTCTTCACATCAGGTAGCCAAAGTATTGGAGCTTCAGCCTCAGCATCAGTCCTTCCAAAGAATATTCAGGGTTGATTTCCTTTAGAATCAACTGGTTTGATCTCCTTGCAGTCGAAGGGACTCTCAAAAGTCTTCTCCAGCACCACAGTTCAAAAGCATCAATTCTTTGGCACTCAGCTTTCTTTATAGTTCAACTCTCATATCCATACATGACTACTGGAAAAACCATACTTTGACTTAATGGACCTTTGTCAGCAAAGTGATGTCTCTGCTTTTTAATATGCTGTCTTGGTTTGTCATAGCTTTTCTTCCAAGGGGCAAGCATCTTTTAATTTCATGGCTGCAGTCACCATCGGCAGTGATTTTGGAGCCCAAGAAAATAGTCTGTACTGTTTTCATTTTTACCCCCATCTATTTGCCATGAAGTGATGTGACCAGAAGCCATGATCTTAATAATTTGAATGTTGATTTTTAAGTCAGCATTTGCACTCTCCTCTTTCACCTTTCATCAAGAGGCTCTTCAGTTGCTCTTCGCTTTGTGCCATTAGGGTCGTGTTATCTGCATATCTGAAGCTGTTGATATTTCTCCCGGCAATCTTGATTCCAGCTTATGCTCCATCCAGCCCAGCATTTTGCATGATGTACTCTCCATATAAGTTAAATAAGCAGGGTAACAATGTACAGCCTTGACTTACTCCTTTCCCAATTTGGAACTAGTCTGTTGTTTCATGTGCAGTTCTAACTGTTGCTTCTTGACCTACATACAGATTTCTCAGGAGGCAGGTCAGGTGGTCTGGTTTTTTTTTTTTTTTTTGGTATTCTCATCTTTTGAAGAATTTTCCACAGTTTGTTGTGATCCACACAGTCAAAGGCTTTAGCATAGTCAACAAAACTGAAAGAAAGTGAAGTTGCTTAGTCATGTCCGAC